GGTTTCTCTGATGGCTCATTTCTTTTTCCATATTTTCCAGAGGTGGTTTTTTGTTTTTTTTAAACAAAGCACGGCGTTTAAAAGATAATAATAATAAGATGATACTGTTGAAAATGCGTCCATTAAGACGGACGTGTCTACTGTGGCTGGTTCAACATGAAAACACCCTCTTCAGCCACGGGGCTTCCTTATCGCATTCTCCACCCTCCATATTTCATCCAAATGAAACTAAAATTTGGAAGAGTGCCATTTACATGTTTTTGTGTGAGACAGTGAATTGAGATTGCTCGAAAATTTTGTTGAAAGATTTATATTCAGTAACCTTTGTAGCCAGGAAAATGCCGGTGTGTTAATTTCTCCAGTTCTGACATCATTGACAATGGGCTGATAAAACAGAATCCTTATGGTTCAAAAATGTCCAGTAATCCCCCGCAAGCAAAACAAGGCCTACTTACGTCAATCCCAGATGGTGAAAATCTCCCCTGAAGAACACAGCATTCAACTCTGAATTTTTAAAACCTTATTTAATAAAAGGTTTAAAGATACAGAAGAACATTCAAAAGTAAATAAGTTACACAGATACATTACAATCACATCAGCAAGATTTTCTTTAGTGTATTAATTTTTTTTTTATAAAAAGCACACAAAAAATAAAATCTTCAGTCTGGTCTATCACAACTGTACAGCAAAAGAGGTAATATTTATATATATGTACACTATTTTAATATGTAACAGTCTTTTTAAAAAAGGGTGCCACAGGCAGCAAACACACAAAAGGCAGTGTCTGATCATTTTTTTCAAAATAAAAGGAATATAGTTATTTATATGCTATTAAAATATTTATACAATAATTACAGACTGTCAAGGCTGTTCCTGTGCTGTTCCCTCCAACAAGGCCTTCCACTGAGAGACAAATGAGAAAAAGGTGAAACAGCGGCAAATGATCAGAGGCAAAGATTAACACAGCACAATAGTGGAGGACATACACCTGTTTTATAAAAGTATGCATACTTCCTGTAAACCTAATAGGCTTGGCCAGTCTGGTAATAAATACCATCCAAGAGCAGTCTGCCCCAGTGAAAGCATATTTAAACAGTTCGGGCTTGAGTATAAGTTGTATTCCTCCTTCAACTTAACCTCTGGCACATGAGAAGAAAGAGGTTAGGTCACTGAGGCAGTTAAGTATAGGGGATCCCTTTAGACGTAAGCAGCACACGGCCTCTGTGCCGGGGTGGAGGCGGGGCGCAGGAGGGATGGGTGTGTACCTCCGCTGGGAAGGGGGCTGCTGAAGGCATGGAGGACAGTTCCGAAGCACTGTCCTCAGGTGGGTGAGACCTCAGAAATGGTCTGGAAATACAGGCACTAGGTTAGTTTCATGCCCTTGCCGAGTGCAGATGGAGGCTGGGAGACGGCTATGTGAGCCGGTGTGGGAGGGCATTATGAAGCTGGAGGTGTTTGTCATTTTCAACTTCTTAAAGCAAAGAGCGCCGAATAGAAGAAGAAAAACAACTAAAGATGAGCCTAATGTGTTCACAGGGAGAAAGCACCATAAAGGACGTATACTTACGCCAGCTCCTATGGCTGCACCTACTTAATTGGCAGGTCGCGTGCCGCAATTGCATCTGCCCTCTAAGCGTGTTAACTTTCACAATGCATTCTAGATATAAATCCATCCTGGAGCACGAACCCTTCCTTCTAAAATGCCGCGTTCTGGTGGGACTAATACAGAGAGGTACCATTTTTATTTTCTCCACCTACATTCACCTGGTCTTGTCTCCATGGGTTTAGAAAAAGGAGAATCACTCTCTAGACAAAGGAGATTTGTTACAGCATGTCCATAAAGAGGCCTGAAACAAAATACAATTTAAATAGAAAAGACCTTGGGAAACGTAAGTAGCACTTTGGGGCAAAGCTGCGAAGGCACTCATATTACACAAGTGATTTAGAAGAGAGGCTAAATTTGCTACCTTCCGATGTCTGGAGGGTGTGCCAGATGTTTGCAATCTTGGGATACGGAGTTTGTAGAAGCTTATGGAGGAAATTAACTGGGAAGCTAGAAATCTAGGTAGTTGTCCAGGAGCCTGGGGGGAGAATTTTGTTGCTCCTGTAGCTGGGATCTTATAGAACCATATAAATGCATGAATGCTGAAAAATACCTGATAGTGCAGTTTAGAAACAAAACCTTTCTCCCTACCCCCAGCTACCAATACGATGTCTTTCGGCTGCCTCGTGAGTTAGCAGAAGGCTTTTTGCCTCCTTCCTAACACGTTGGCCTGCCTTTTACTCGCATTCACGTTGAACTTCTTTTACACAATGACAGTTGAGGGACAAGATCAGAAAAATAACTCAGCCCTCCTGTGGGACTGGCAAGTGAAGGGGCTTCCAGAATCTTCCAGTCCTTTCATTAGTGACTCCGTGCCAAATATGGCTTCTTCACCCCAGAAACAAACCAGAATTCTGGCCTCCAGCCAACCCTCTCAGGCAATTTGCAAGTACAGCTAGAGAAGAGGTAGCAACAGGAACTGCTTTGATCCCCTTGCTCCTGCTACTCTAGGTGTGACACCTTCCACCTTCCCACCCTCTTTCAGCAGGCACTATCATTCCTATTGGCAAGAGCTTCCAGAGCAGTGTGGTGAGGGGCGGTAGGGACAGGAGGGTGGCGCAGATGCCAAGAAGGTGCCTTGTTTTGGGATAAATGCACTTGGGCCTCTGGAAAGCAGGCGGCCCCTGGTCCCTGAGAGGATGTTAAAAAATTAAATATTAAGAATAAATAAATAGCTCCCAAATGACACAAGTCAAGGAATGAAGGCTCCTGTCCAATCTGGTTAGGAGACCTCCCCCTCCCAGGGAAGGATCCAGAAATCTCCAGCACGCAGGACTGGGGGCTGGGCTGTGGATATCAGCGCTGGACCAGGTGGGGTGGGGTTAGGTGGCAGCTGCCAAGGTCAGGACAGAGGCAAGCAGGAAACCTGCACCAAGGAGGGGCAGGCTGGGCCTGGGCTAAGCTCCCTTAGCAGCCTCTAGGGCCCAAAGGTATTTGGCAAAAAAGGTGGGAAGCAGGAAGAGCCAAGGCTTATCTAAAGTGCCCTCAGGCCCAGCCCCGCAGCTCCCGTCCTCACAGTTCCCCTTCCTCCAGCAGGCTGAGCTTGGGCAGGAACATGGGCCTTTCCCCAAACATCTGAGAAAACTTTCCAGCCCCAGCAGGCTGCTAGCAAGTAGCAAAGGGAGAGAGGCCTCTGTGAGGACAGGAGCGCTGGACCGCTTAGGCCTGGACACGGATTGCAGGGGTGAGCTCCCTTTTTCCAGCGCTTAGGGGAGGGCCTCTGAGGTCCTCTGGAGCAGAGGAATAATGCTACAATGGGGGTGAACTTGTGCTTGGCTCTCCATGGTGACCAAGGGGCGCTGGGGGCAGAGGAAGCAGAGAGACTGCGCAGCAGCAGGGGAACCAGTGTGAGAGGCACCAGTGGCAACGGCTGGGGCCCCTCCCAGAGGGCAGCCCCAGCAAGCAGGGATGCTCATAGTTCCAGGAAAACATGAGGACAACTTCCGACAGACCGAATGCACAGAGAACTGGATCCTGCAGCCCTTAACACTGCTCCTGGGGCCTTTATAAATAAAAGAGCTGTTTATTTTATTGTCTTATTTGTTTTTCGGAGAAAAGTCCATGTGATCTCTCCTCGATCCCTCTGTAAGTTCCTGGGCGCCTGCGGCGCTTTGACAAGGCTGGTGCAGGGAGAGCCGGGCGCCCAGGCAGAGGGGCCAGTCCTGGGTCTCCGGCGGAGCCTTGGGCCTCAGCTCCTCTCTCCAGCACTTTCCGTCTGGT